GATGAAAAGACACTAAATTAAACTATCAACCTCAAGCACCCCTTAATCGTAATGTCTTTTCTACTGTGGTATATGTCGCTAATCTTCGGTAGCCACGCTGTCGTCTATTGCGCTGCTCTATGCCAACCCTCGTCTACTTTTACAACGCAGTAGCATATTATAAAATTATTGTATAATGGTATGCGTGTAAATGACTGGTATAAACGGCGATCATAATATAATAAATTATTATGAATAAGTAACTAAATCCAGGATCATATTCAAACTTGAACTAAGGGGAAGTGGGTAGGTTTAATGTCACATCGATTTTAATCCAATCTTCTCAAAAAAATGTCCTGATTACATGTATTTTAAAATTTAAAAAAAAAAAAATAGAAAAAAATATTTTTTTTTAATATTCATAACAATTTAAATATCAATCTGATTACACGTTTTATAAGATAAAACTGTAAACTAGTAGTATATATTATATTGTGATATGAATATATAAAGAAGCGACACTTTTGACTATATTCTAATAGTATAATAAGTATAATTATTAGTGTTTCTAATTTATGAGTTGAAATGAAATTAAAACTAAAATTAACGTCAAATTAAGTTATATTTTAAATTTTTAAATTTAAAATTAATTTACATATCTACAGCGTTACCTCGATATGTTTTTTTGAATACTATGAATAGGTCTTTTAAAATTTAAAAAAAAAGTAATTTTATTGGACAAAAAAATGTTTTGAACCTGAAGTCAGTACTAAAAGTTAAGCGTAATTAGTTTACTGATCGTAATTTTAGAACACAAATTTGTTTTATGTGCAATTGGTATATACCTAATTTATGTTGATGAAAATTTACGAACCGTGCACCCGCATATGGTACTAATATGTATCTATAGTTACCTAATATTAGACCAGAATAATTTAGTAATGTGTGTGTGTGTGTGTGTGTGTGTGCGTGTATGCGTGTATGCGTGTGTGCGTGTAGTTTGAATAACAGTGGTCCAGAGCTACATAGTTAATATTGATGAGCTACGTGGATGATTAGTGTGTAAATGTCTATAGCATTATATACTCATTACGGTCTAGGGGTGCTATACCTGGGGAGCACACATAAACATACATGATTTGTTAGGCAAAGTTAATAATAATTTAATTACAGTGATAAAGATCATATAATAATAATTAATTGAACGAAAAAAAAAAAACTATAATTTTGAGTTTATTTGATGGAGTAATGACTAGTTTAATGTTTGAAATGTGCTCAAAACCTTACATCTTGAGATGGTCCAAGTGATACTTAATCTAGCCTTGGGCATATTTCTATAATAATATCACACGTTATTCTATAATATTAGGTATAACTTACAATACACACACACATACTACCTATAGTGCAATACTAATTTGGTTGTAAACAACAAGTATACGACTCTGAGGGATTATACACCGCTGCTGTTTTTGCTATATAATATACATATACATACTACTTACTCACCACACAAACTGTATGTTGTATACTTAATGGGGTTTTGAAGAGCCGATGCGAACTAACCTGCGGGTAGCGCACGGCGTATTATGTATTTTATGATACTATATATTATATGATTATACCTAAAGTGTACACACATGCGCGAATTAAGTCTAGGTGCTTCCGGTGTTATTAATATTATCATCCGTTTCATTCTAAGTCGCTCGAAGTTAGTTATTCCAACAGCTAATAGTAGTAGCTCGTAGTAGTATTTATAGTAGCCTTAATTGCCATCAACCGATCGCGGTCAAGATACAGGATTTCAGTTAATGGGTATAAAGTAAATACGACTCATCATATTCATCACATAAACGATTGATTATAAATGTCATGATAATTAAACCTATATTGTAAATACATAAGTTCTACTAGTGCTAACTTTATGCATTTAAAATAAACGTCAACTCATAGATTTGATTGTTTTGATCAATTTTTTTTTTTTTTAATTGTAACTAAATAAATTTGATTACAATAACACTCATTTCTTTTCCAAATATTAAGCATGATTCATTTAGTTGGAATTTTTTTTTTATTATTTATCATAACTTTTCTGAGAAATACTGGAAAATACATATATTACTGAATTCGTGTTCTAATTGATCTATATTATTAAATATAACAATAATGAAATCGCTACGTTGTATATAGTAGATATCAATAGTATCGTGGAAATAATATTATAATAATGATGCCTAATATATAAAATAAAATAACTACCCCATAAATGAGTTCTGACATAATAAACGTATTAATTCTTCGAATGAATTAAAAAACATTTTATATAAAAAATTATTTTGAATAGAGATGATTTGTCAACCTATATTATATCAAAGGATATTTTTTAATATACATTAATATTAATATTAGTATGCTTATTTTCGTTTTATCAATATGATAAGTTAATATTAAGTTTTATTAAAAATAAATCACATGATATGGTATAATATTATAATACAGTTCTTTATTATTATGATTCGATTTAATATATTATTATTTGCTAAGTCAATATCAACATAAAAAAGTTACTTCTATTTTTTTTTTTTTTTTTTTTTGTATTATTTAGAAAAGTACAATCAATCCTTTTTATTGTTGACCCTTTCAGAGTATCAAATAGATTCAATTGTTTAACAAAATCACCCCTCAAAATTAAATTTTAAAGCATTTTTAATGCCTCATGTAACCACAAAAGTATAAAAACAAAAAAATGTGCATTGTTATTAAACCAATACATACATTGCTCTGATCATAATCTAAAATAAATAAATTTTCAAGTTATAATATTTAATCAAAAATCTACGATAACTTTTATAGTCCAATAAAATGCACAATATTTCATCGATTTAATTTAATTATAATTCTATAATCAACTTTGAAAAATCTATGGGTATTGCTATTAGATATTAAGATGGTGTATAGATTAACAATACTTTCTTCAGACTAAATTATACAAGTGGTTAGTAATCTAGTTCATAATCTAGAAATATTATTCTATAGTGTGATAAAATATTATTCCATTCATAATATCGTATACAATAGATTTCCGACTATACTTTTCTATTGAAACATCAGTGTTCCGTCATAATTCCGTGTTGTCATCATTCGACCGTTTAGTTTATCCTCGAACAATGTAAACAAAACCATGTATTGTAACCGTAACACTAACATAGTCTGAACAATGGAGTGTTTGATGTTTATCTCGAAAAGCTTGCAAATTCCCATACTTGATGTACGAACATTTGGTACGTTTGCACGATGAATAATATTACCAATGGACAATAACTTCAATGCAAAATATATTGACGAAATAACAATATTTTTTTATATGTCAAGGAATGAGGACGTTTTATACTCCATCATTTTGTTGGACAATAGTTTTACTATATATATATATATATATATATAACTATAAACTTTCAATTTATAATATTGAACAGTATATTATTTATATTTTACAGTATTTAAAATCATAATAAATAAACATAATATCATACTAATATATATATAATATGTATGTATATAACAATAAATAACATTAATAGAATATAATATTATACATTAACCTACATAAAGTGTATGTATATAAAAACAAATAACATTAATAAAATATAATATTATACATTAACCTACTTTATAAGTTTATTATTTTGCTAAAGCATAATCATTTATATACTTCTGGTATAAAAATATGTTTCAATATCAAATATTGCTGGAAGTACTCTGTATCTATAGTCGACGACAGCTATGTACCCAAATTGCCTACACAGAACGCCGTGTGACCATAATATTAATTAATAAAAATTAATATAATATTATTGAAATATATTTATTTATAATAACATACTTATATTATAATATATAGATCAAATGATAACTGATAGAACTAAATAAGCTACAAGTTATATGGAAAGCATTAAATGGGTAAAGCAAAGTATAAAATCATAAACTTAACCGTTTTATCAAACAAGTTAGAATGATACCTACTTATTTAATTTGTTTTAATAAGTAATATTTGATTATAATTTATGAGATTTTTACTACTATTATAGCTAATTATATTATTATTATCAGATTTACCATACCATATGATAATTTATGTTTATTTTAAAATAAATTGCATATTTAATTGTGTAAAATTAAACAAGTGCATTATATATATATATATGTATATATTTACTCTAAGAGCTGTTATTATAAATTAATTAATGCATAATTTTAAAAATATATTATTGTACAATAAAAATAAAGATTTTCACTGAAATTTCCAACACATATATTTAACAAGATAATATATTTACGTGTTTTTATTCCTGCATTCATTATTTCGAATAGTTTTAATTTTTTTGAAAATATTAAATTTACATAGTTAAAGGATACTGTGAAACAACATTTTTGAAAAAAACAACTATACATTTTACAGTTTTTTTATTATATATTTTTTTTAAGTTTTTAATTTTTTTAGAAAAATACTATATCTTGAAGAAGAATATTTTTTAGGCCGTTTCGAATAATCGAAATTAAATTTCAAATGATTAATGAATTGGTTATATCTTTATAAATATATATAATTTAAGATTAGAAGAGCCATATAAAGTGCACTGCAGAAATACATACCCAGCAAAATTTCAGTCCACTATTTAAAAAAAAAAAATTTGCTTAGGTACTTAGATGCATATAAAATAAACACGTCAATAACTAGAAATATGCTGATTATAATGCACAATAATCAAATTTATTATATTAATTAGTTATGTCAACTTGACCTGAAGTTTATTAACTACTCGTTAGAAATTTAATTTTTATTTATCGAAGTACTTTTAAAAATATTCTGCTTCGGAATTTAATATTTAAAACGTATGTTTTCGTTTTAAAAATTAAATAATTTTAGCTGATAATGAGAAAAAAAAAATTGTAAACAACATTATTTTTTTAACGATATCAAACTATCCAAAATGAGATTTTCAAGAAAGTTTAAACTCTGCCATATAATGAGCGTATTAAACACTTACATGGATCATTATGCACATATATTTGTACATATAAGTGAAATAATTACAAAGGAAGTCTTATATTTGCATACTATATGTTGTTCATTTCCTTAGTTTAACCATCGTTTGATATCCTGATCACACTACCATACTTACTGTTACCCTCGAACAATGTTTAATCGTTAGGATACTTCATCAAGCTTAACAAAAGGAATTGAACCGAAATATTCAGATACCAATTCAGGACTCCTAGTTTAAATCTACTGTACTTAATGTATTATCCTTATTATTTGGCAAACTCGTAAAACTGTCCCTCTGAATGGGAGAAACCGAAACCACATAACATATCTTAACTGCATTGTTAAATCACAAAAAAATATAAAAATTATTCACACTCAGATAGACAATATCTACATTACCCCATCCCATTTGGTATATATATATATATTACAAACAGTAGATTATTTTATCATATTATATAAATTACTGTAACATACTATCATATAAAATGTATACATATATTATTTTTATTACGAAACAATTTCCATGTCCTTCACAGGGTTTTGAGAATTTCCGATTTGGTGTACTCGTACGCTTCTATTATATTTTTCTCATCAGATTTTGAAATCTATTTACAGAATATAATTTTACACAGAATTAATCACTGTTATTTTTTAAATTTTTAACCATTATGTTATAATATGTAGATTTTTTTTTATACAAATACATAATTCAACGTTGCTTACCTCGGGCATCACATATCGTGTTCGCGTACTCTCCAGTTCGTCAATATATCTAATAGTGCTGAGTTTCAACTCTCCGTTGATCCAAACTCCCTCCATGAATTGACCTTTGTCTTTGAGCACGTACACGCCTTCGCCGTGTTTCAGACCGTTTCTCCATTGTCCGTCATAAATGTTACCGTTTGCTATAAGTCGCGTAATAACGTTTCAGATTTCAAAAACAAAAAAATAAAAATTTCCTACAACCTCAATAATAATAATATTATGCTTCCTTATAATATCACAACAATTATAAATACAGGTTGAAGCTATAACTAAAAATCTCGTTTTTGCGTAAAAAAAAAATGTATGTTTATTGTGCATATCGAATCAGTAATAATAAATATTTTATCGTTATAAGTATAATAGAACACTATAAAATTGTATAAAGTAAAAAATTCAATTATTTTTAAGTAACGATGCAAATATGCAGCATTAAAATCTAAAGTCTAGTCTACCAATATTTTTTTTATCAGATTTTTTCAAATGTCTTTTCTGATTTACTCTAAATAAACATAATAAACATAAAAGTTTTTATTTTATTTTGATTGAAGCAGTATTTAAAAAAAAAAAAAAAAACTGCAGAATTTAGGATTGCGAAGTCCTCAAAAAAAAAGTTACTTTCTGTTAATTTAAACGTATTGTGTACAAATGATTTACCAATATAATATCATTACCTTATTAAAAACTCTAAAATAATGATTTACCTATAGTATATACATTGACGCGCAACGGTTAAAAACTTTTTCAGTTGAATAGTGTTGAACTTCCAAATTAATTTCAAACAAAAAACCACAATTATATAATATTCAATATGCCGTTAACACCACCAACCAATGAAATATGTATTTATTGTAAAAAAAAAAAAAAAGAAGTTTTTATAATATTATGCATATGCAAATGCATACACTTTGTGATCTAGTTAGAAGCATTTACATTTTAGACGATTGGAATTTAGTGCCATGGAAATATATATGCTTAACAAAACTAAAACTTTAAACATTTGTACAACTTTTTAACTATTGATTTAAAAATAACATTTTTATACATCAAAATCCTCAAAGAAAAAATATTCTCTTTTGAAATTATATAAATATTTTTTTTTTTTTTAATTGTAGATAAGTAAATAAAATATATAATAAATTTTAAATAAATAATAAGAAATACATTTTTTTTTTTTTAATTCAAATAAAAGAACTGTTTGGTGATAAATTAAACAACTTGTTTTTAAGTATAATAGTAGATGATAATATAATGCAATATAGTTTTTACCTTCTATGTATTTTCCTCGGCCGTTGTACTCGTTGTTGCGCCATTGGCCTCGGTATACGGCACCGTCGTTCCACCGCATGGTCCCGTAACCGCATTTAACTCTACTACCAGCCGTTGAAAAGCTACCATCATAAATGCCGCCTTCCTCGTACCATTTGCCTCTAGCCTTTACAGCGACAATAATAAACACTGTATATTATGGTATCATAAAGTCCACTAGTCGCATAAACCCATACCAATTGCTAGTTTTTGCACGCGAACACCGAAACTTTTTGTTTGTCAATTAAAGTAATTAAAGTAATTACAGTGTTATCGTCACCTTGTTTATTGCATATAATGAGTAAATTAAATATAAGATGTAAATAGTATATTTAATACTCAGAATTGTCTGTTCCATTTTAAATGTTAATATACATAGAAAAATTCACGAAATCTCGATATATTTGTAATTTAGCCTATTTCCTTTAAAAAATAACGTTTACTATACAAATAAGGTACAGATTTATGTAACCGTTTTACTTTAATATGATCTTATGTAATCATGCATTTATTTTTATGTTCTATTTTTTCGGATTTTTTTGTCACTTAAGAAATCATGCGGGTCTTTGCAGGCTTAAAACTTTAATTTTTTTATTTCATGTTTTTAAATATTACGTAAATTAGAATTTGAATAAATATGTAAAATTAAGCACAGAGCACATTGAATTGCCTTCATATTAACCGAGAGCAATTATGTCGTATTAAATAATTTTCATTAAAGTAAAATCTTGTACACTATACATGTCATTTGCAAAAATATTTTTAACATAATATATGCACATTTCAGTGACGTAAATTAACTAATGAATAAAACCATTGTATTCAGATTCTGTAGGTAATGTGTTGACGTCATATATATATATATTTATATGTGTGTGTGTATAACTTCTACTTACAAATCGGTTATTTATCCATTGTCCTTCGTAAATATATACAAAATGGTCATCAACTTTCTTCATCAATACGCCAAAACCATGTCTTTTGTTTGCGACCCAATCTCCCTCGTAAACTGTTTTGTTATTGTAAGATTTTTTTCCTTTTCCTGAGGATTAAAGAACACACTGTACAGATTTACAACAATTGATTGACATCACAGGAGAATATTAAAACTATTTAAATGGATCATTTTACAAAGATTTTCAGATAAACTATGATCAGTTTTTTAATGATGAATAATTACGCACAAATTACTTAATTATCGGAAATTATATAAACAACCTTATATATTTTATTTTTATAAAATAACATTCGGGCCCTATTTTAAGAGTTACATTTTTTTTATCGTTATGATAAATTTATAAAATAATTATACTTAACATATTTTTGTATATACAGTAAAACCAAAGTCATGGATAACAATTTTATATCTATGACTGACCCTTTTTGGGCTCTAACATAACACGGTACTTAGTGTTTCTATCTTGGTTAGCAACATGTTAGTATGTATTATATAATATAAAGTAGGTCCAAATAGTTATTATCGTTCAACAGTAATGTTTTAATCGAACAAATTCTATTAAATGTTAGAATACAATCATTTCAGTTAACAATAGTGGTGCTGATTATAAAGATTACTTGTAAGTAATCTGACATAATGGACTAACATTAAAAATATGCACTAGAATCGTCAACATGTCTCTTTTAACGATCTTAACTTTTATTTTTTTAAATTTTATGCTACACATAATACGAGTATAACAGCTGATGTCATACTTGTATATATACGTGTGATGATTAAGATTGAAAATCATATTACCAAAACATTAACTGTTATAATATATACCTAATTATAATTGTTCAATAATTATTATATTGACCTACATCGATGAACTATTTATTATAAGTGTAAAATTCGATTATAACTTATATGTGCGTATATATAAATCGAAACCTACATTAAATATTAATAGTTTTTATATTATTATTTTATTTATTGTAAATTGTGTGTAACATAATATATATATTTACATTATATATAGGTAAAAATACCCAATGGTCCATTCATCATTATATTTGTTGCCATGGTTTCTAGTATTCCTGTTGAATTTATAAAAAAAAATATTAAACATCGATGGTGATATTTTGTTGACTTAATTATTAATTTATATATGTATATTTATCACTGTTTTATTGATGTTAAAATAGTTAACCTTGGAATTTTATATTTGTTTAAGATTATATTTTGTACTAACACAGTTATATAACCATCTTTACTTTACAGTAAGTATAATTTTGTATTATTTTTTGTCCGTGTGTTTGTATAAATGTTGATATATTATTAGATTTTAACTTACATAACTGAAATAATTTATAAATATTTGATTATTATAAGGTGGATAATTAAATGTCGAACACTTAAAATAATTACCTAAGTTTTTAAAATATTCGATATCAATGTTTTGTTAATGCTGAATTTATTAAAGTTGACGAGTTAAAAAAAAAAAAAAAAATCAATTAAATGGAAGTTTTGATTAGTAAAAGAAATGATTAGCTAACATAAAAAAGTTTAACAATCAACCTATTTTAATTACTTTAAATTATCCTATTATTGTATAGGCGTACTATACAGTTAATATGTAAAAGAAAATAATATTATTCATATTTTATATATGTATTTACATTTCAAGCTCGTGTTTCTTTAGGTTCAGTCATTTTTTATGGTAATAAAAGAAAATTAAAAAAAACCTTTTCCTTTATAATGAGCATGCATTTGACTTGTGTTTTTAGTCAATGACACGTAATACTACAATATAAAAAATGTCATTTAACTTGACTTTTAAAACTTTTTTTTTTTCTTAAGAATAAAAATAAGCAGGTTATCGATTTATTTTGTTATAATAAAGAGTCAATGCTTTAGTTTCATAACCTAATCTCCAATTTTGTTGTTCCTTATTTATTATGCTTTTACTATCTATTATATTAAGGTCAATAATTATTGTTAATATAAAGGGCATAAGACGAGCGAATAAAAATAAAAATCAGGATAGTCACTCTACTGTATAGTAGTCTTAAGTGATTTTTATCATTGAAAAAAAAAACATCTTAGATGTTTTAAATTTGAATTAAATGATAAATAATTAGACACGAAAAATAATTCTAAGCAAGAACGCTTATTATTAATTATTTATTTGTTTATTGAAAATATAAGCTGATGGAACAATGGTCACATTACAAGAAATATTTAAGTACATAATTAAAATATATTAAAAAATAAACACAGCAAACATGATAATGATCTAATAATAAAAGATTAAAGTAGCAACATCTAAAAGTTATATAAAAATATACGACAGTTAAAATAAATAATTTTAAAATTTGTAAACTAATATTTCATGAAATTTAAAAACTAAAATTTAGAAATTATTAATTTTACACAAATATACAAGTTTTGGAACATATTTTTAGTAATCTTAGTAAATATTCTACTATACAAATAAAACATATTACAATTTGTTTTGCAATCAAATTATTATTAAATAATAAAAAAAAGAGAATGATGAAATCCAAAATAATAAATTTATTTGATAAACGAATAGTTTAAAATCGTTATCATTATGATATATAGGTTAATTAATTAATGAGAATGTATCATAATATTCATAATTATTAATGTAATAATAAACAATTTTCAAGTTGCAATTTTGATAAATTAGGTAAGTTTTGGCGATGAAGTAACATTATAGGTTACCATGACATTTCTAAGACAAACCTATTTTCTAAGTCCTTGTTAGGTTAAAACTTGTTTTATAATATGTATATACAAATTATTACATTATAGTTTATAATTAACACGATATAATTTTTTTTAATATTAATTTTGGTATTCCACAGTAAATAGTTATCTTAAGTACTAAAAATTCACTTGAGTTTTTAGGTTATTAAACAATAGGGTTTTAATTGAAAGTAACATAATATAAATAAGAGGTATTATTTAAAATATATTCAAAGTATTTAGAATGTACAACATTGTCATCAATAAAAATTTAAATTAATTGGTAAAAACCAAATTAATACAATCAGTAATTTGTAATAATTGATTTATATTTATTGTAAAAAGTGATTACTGTATTCAATAATTAATTTATACTTTTACCCTTTGTCCATCTGTTATTTATTATTTATAAATAAAAGAATATATTATATTAACTAAGCGTCTACATAGACACATAGACACATAGTCTTCTGAAAAGTATTTTTATTTAAAAGTTTGAAGTTTTTATAAAACATAATTTTTTGAATATAGCCAAATTTTATTTTACATATAAATAGAGGGTATCATGATGATCAGACGTATTTTAATGTACAATTGTCAGATCTTTTTGATACATCCTGCATAAAATCTGTGGTATGTTATTTATCAATAGTATCTAAACTATTTTTAATGTTGTTATAATTACAATAAATACAATATCTATTCTATTATCCGAATAATGTATATTAAAGTACCTAACTATCTTAAAGGGACCGAAAAATTTAGCGAATAAAACGACCTCTATTTAGTTGACCTATCTTTGTCATAGTTAGTGGTGACTCACCTTGTTTGGTATCGCATTCCCAGTTACCCATGTATAGCCCGTATTTTTCGTAGACTCCGGGTTTGAATCCGTTTTTCATAGAAATCTTCTCTAACCACTCTACTTTTGACGGTCTGCCCCTACAATGGATTGAAGGCATTTTGAGATGCTTTTGATCCGAATAACTTTCTAAACAGCGGCGAGGGCGTACGAGTGTAAAATATTATTCTCAATTAGATCCAAAGTGTCGGACAACTAATACCTTGCCGCCGCCATTGCCGCCGCTACTACGCGTACTGTTTCTTAGCAACGCTATTCGTTCTTCGTTGTTACTAGGTCAAGTCCGCAAAGTGTCGATTACGGGCCTATATGTAATAGTTATCAAAATATATTATTAGTACGAGCGAGCACAACACTTTTTTTCTTCGGTGGAACGTGTTGGAAAGTTTGTAAATAAAAACGATTTTATACTCGTGTACTAAAATGATCGGTGTTAAATTTCGATGATGGTGGTAGGTTATAATAGGTTATGTTCGGGTTTAATTTATCAATATATATATCATAATAATATTATGGATAATATGCTCTATTACACGACAAAAAAATTAGCTGACACCAAAAAATTAAAGAACACAATACATTATTATGGGGTATAAATAATAATATTAAAATACAGACTATTATCGATAAATCTTCATTAACACAATTAAAAATCCTTAATATCACTATTATAAAAACAGCAAAAAATAAGATTTATGTGTGTAAATAAAACATTTTTTTTTCTCAGAAAACCAGAAAGTTGACCGTCTTAACTGTGGTATATGCGAATATTAAAATATTAAATACTAAATTATGCACATTCATGTAGTAACATAGAATGCTAACTCAGTTTTAAACGAAATTATCACCAAAGACATACCTTATAATTATGTATTGAGTTAATACATACCACATTTTCCAAGTTCAACAAGTTTTGTACGACTATATAATTTTATACAGAATGTAAGTTGTAGACAGTTATTGTACACACATCCAATATTTAAGTATATACATGTATAATATATAATATATTATAGTTCGTGGTGAAACACTTAAAAACTTTACGAAACTTTACGATGGCGCTTATTTGAGAGCCTTCGGGGATACACGTTGTGTGAATCTGGTTGAAATCGTTATCGAATACGGCTACTGTCTCTGCTACCACCACCGTTGAGGATTACCCAAATCTGATTTTTCTGTAAAATTCAATATTAATAAACATTTTCATCGAATAGACAATAAAAAAAAAAAACCGAGTTGGTAATGTAGATGGAAAAATAAAATAAAAAACGTTTTATTCGTTTTACTTGTACCAAATCGTATATTATGATAGTATTGTATTATATTATATTTTGTGGATAGTGTTTGTTCGCTCTCGTTATAGTTTCGATGTGACAGAATCCATGTTTGTTCTGCTACGGAATTAATAAATACTCATATTGTACTTTGCCATAGTGGAATATAATTTATTATACACATTGTTTACGTAAAATGGCTTATGTGATCTATCCGACAATTGTAATCCCTATATTATAAAATAAAATACACGATGGTGCTAAAAACAATATTTGATTATCAAATATTTTTATGACGCCGATTATACATGTATTGATAAAAAATAGCAAAGTTCGCAGATTTTTATTTTTTTTTTATTATTATTCTTTCGATCGTGAAACTATAGAAAAATTTTATCTAAGGCAGAATATCTCAAACTATGAACATAACATTTTTTGAATGTGTTTTCATAGTTTTAAATATTCTAATATCCACATCTAGATTGCCTTTTTTTTTTTTTAATTCCCACGTCATCAATGTTACCAAACTTAAGTACTTATTGAAATTTCCATCAATTGACGATAAAATTATTCTATACAAGTTAAATGCGATTCGATTTTATGAGGTCTACAATAATTATTATATAGTTATAATTTGAACGATACGTTGTAACGCAAATGTAACGTTTGCTTTTAAATAAATATGGCAGAATGTATTTATTTTATTAAATTTGTATGCATACTTATATAAAATATATTATATTATATTATATTATTGAATTATATTAAAACATATGTGTGGTTTTAGACAAATTAAACAATGCATGTAAAAATCTTACAGTCTGAGAAACATAATACTCTATGGTTAAAATGATTTTTGAATTATGAACATTTTAATGGATTAAATATTAAAGTAATTTGTATAAATCACTATTAAGTGCTTTATCCAGACAAAGAAATTATGACAGGCAATTATCGTATATTTTCTTATTCCTTGTAATAAAATTCGATTTCATTCCACACCAAAAAATCTATTTTTCTGACTCGACTTTAATGATAATTTTATTTATTGTAAATCGAAAAATATACACTCTTTTCCTAAATATTCGATAAAATCTTTGTTTGGATTTAAGTTAAGTACAAAAGAAATGACCCGTAACATCCAAAAAAAAAAAAATTGTATAAAAGTTATTAACAACTTATTTCTTTAATATGTAAATTTAGTAAAATTATTTTATATTTTAAGGAAATCTTAAAATCTAAAGAATTTATTTATTCATTTATTCATGGTTATGATAACAGAATAAAAGCATATTGAGGTCCGACAAATTTTGAATTTGCAACAAAAAAAAAATATATATATATATATATAATTAACCATGCAGTAAATATTGTATTCGCATTCTTTAACGGTATAATTAAGTACTTTTAATTTAGTATTCAACATCACTATTTCCTTCAATAATCAGCTAAATATTCATCTTACATAATAACAAAATATCAACGTCATGTTTATTTCTTTGTATATTGATTAAATAATTAAATTTATAATAAACTAATAAATTAAACTAAAATTATCATTGAGTAATTTATTATTATAAATCATATCTAAATTATACATGCACGGATTACTGTTTATGAATTAGTTAGAATCTATCATATGCATGAAGTTTATAGTGGTTTCATAAAAAAAAAAAAAAATTAATAACTCTTATAATATAATACTATTTATTTTTGTACACTCATATCTTCATCATTCTCCTACGGTAATTGGAAACTCTGTATGTTCTATGTTTAGCCATATGTAGATATATCATCAACTATCTATGACCTTATATTTTTTGAAGTATTAGACTTTAATTTAGTCTTAAATTTACATTTAATTAGATATATTACTTTATAAAATGGTTAACTCTAAATAAAAAAATATGAATAAATGCATACATTTTATTAATTAAAATATTAAAACTGTACACTTTATCTTCCTATGGTTTTTATGCATTTATATATTTTTACAAGTTCCATAGTTAATATATATTATTATGTAAGTTGTATTTTAAACTCTAGAAAAATATTTTTTTCTTAGAAACTTCAATCAATAATAATATCACAGAATATAATTTAATTGCATATCTCAGTACTAACAAATTGACAACAAATTCTAAATAAATTAATGCTGTGAAAATATATAAATTAAAATGTTAAATGATTTTTTTTTTATGATTAATATTGGTACTTATATAATATGCAAATAATTTATTAATTTAGGTAACCTATATTATAAATAACTCATGTTTTAATAAAAATAAAAATTTTATCTGCCAATAACTTTAAAGATATTATTTAACGTAGGTATATAGATATTTACAATTAATATTTTTTATCATAAATCTGTAAATGGACACCACTCTATTTTTATATTTTTTCGTATATATTTTTTTTTCTTACTATAACCAAAAATAGCTCTATCGGAATTTTTTTTTTTTTTGCTTTACCCCATAGTTAATTATGTTATTATTTTCTATGCTGACATCACTCTTTATTACGATGAACATGTAAATAATATTTATATATTATTATAATTGTTTCTATAAAATTTAAAATACATGCTCATAATGCACCTTTTTAACAAACGGCTTTTCTTTAGCCAAAGATAAATTAGTTTGATAAAAATCTAGAACCAAATCAAGCATTTTATAGCATGACATTAATTATTAAAGCTCTGAAATATGAAGTCAATGGTTTAAAATCACTTATTTTAAACTATATTTAACGATGTTTTCACTTTTTTTAAAAGAAAAAAGAAAATGTGTTAACTAATTATACGTGAATCATTATTTAAAAAAGTATAAATTAATTTGTTTTTCAAAACTTATTGCTCATTATTTTTTTATTTGAAACACTACGTATACCAAAAACTATGTTTATTTTCTTTTTTAACGTAAATTTTATTATATGAAAAATAAAAACTATGAGAAGCCAAATATTTTATATACTATTGTAATTGAACTGAATCAAACTGATCAATTATAGTTATATGTAATAATATCATAATATTACCGTATAATACCAATGTATATGTATATATCAATCCAAAATATTGAACATTGCAAAGCCGATTTATCAGTTGCCGAAACTTTTAGAAATAATCACGTCGTAGTATAAAATCGCATCCGATGAATCCTATTTATATTATATATTATGTACACAATGAAATACAATTTAAAATGTTATGATCATTTTATCGTATTTCGTTACAATTTAAAAACAAAAGAGATTTATAATAATTGTACGTTCAATGGTGAATAGTAATATATTTATATAATATATAACAATGCGTACTTATTTATTTAAATGAGATAACCGAATATATAATAAGTATCTATGAATGACACATATTTTTTTTAATATTAAATTAAAAATTCAACATAAAATCGCTTAATGCGGCGATTCGTTCCATTAAAAATTATTAATGGAATTGACCAAAACAATAATAGCATTATATTATATCAAAATATCCGTGTATTATAGTTGAATAAATAATGGTTTGTTTGGCAAGATTGACGGTATCGATAGTAATTGATATTTCTGTGAATGTTATGAATAAGTCGATAACAGTTTAATATATTCTCATAATTCCCATCACATTTCGGTTTTACTTCATTATTTTTGGGCGATGGACCGCATGCATTGCATGACATATCATAGCACGTCCTCAAAAACAATCTGACAAAAAAGTCACAGCACAAAACAAAACTTCATCATGCGTAAAACAATATTATACCAACATATATGGTGATATCGTTTTGTTCGGATGACGTTTGGCGGTCACAACTTATGCAGTGATATAACTACTTTGTTCCATAGCTATATGATATTTTAATAATATTATTGTATTTACGGTCGTTTAATTGTCATCAGTGAATAACCTATGGATTAAGTTGCAACGGTTCACGACCAGCTGAAATCCTTTTAGGTAATAAATATAT